ATGGCTGAATGAGCAAATTTTGTGCTCTCTCTGCCAGGAGTTTCAACACCCCACTATGGGCACAATTTCTGCCAAACTTACATTGTCCAGTACAGGTAGTCCTTGTTTAGTGACTGCCTCATTTAGTGACCATTCGCAGTTACGATGGTGATGAAGTAACTTTACAACCAATCCTTACATTTACAACCTTCGCAGTCTGTAAAGCAAAGGAAAGTTGAAGTCAGATCATAAGCACAGTCGCGGCTTCACTTAGCAACTGCTTTGCTTAATGACTGAGTTGCCGGTCCCAATTGTGGTTGCTAAACAAGGACTACCTGTACTGGGAGCAACTGGAGACCAATATGGCTTGCCCCTGGAAATGGTTTGCTCACACCCAAGAGAACAGCTATACAGAGAATCAGCTTCTCTCAAGGATCCTGAATTAATGAAGGGTCTGAACCTCAAAGCAGTCCAAGAAGTAAATTGGGGACTGTGTGAGACACTTGGAATTCCTGAAAGTTTTCTGTAAGAAGGATCGAATCCCCATCTGCCTGATGTGCAACAAGGAAGCCAAGGAACATAGGCCTCATGCTGTGCTTCCTATAAAAGAAGTGGCTCAGGATTACAAAGGAAGTTTTTTATTCTCCAGCAACCAGGGTGATCAGGGAATGCCTGAAAGGGGAGACACTTTCAGCATTTCTAGACAGAGTTTGGTACTAATTTTATTTGCTCTCTAGAGTAGTGTTTCTCAACCTTGGCAACTTTAAAATGTGTGGACTTCAACTTCCAGAATCCCCCATGCTGGCCATCCTCTTCTCTTTCCTTCCACCATTCCCAGCACTACAGCTTTTTTCAGAGAGGTGGGTCTTCACTTAAAGTGTCCAAAGTAGTAGGTTGTCACACAGAGAACCCTAACCAGGCACCTAACTAAGTAACAATGCTATTTAGAAAAGTCTAGCACAAATTGACTGGAGAGGTACTACTGGCTGATTTTGAGAAGATAAGGAAGGGCAGAAGTGGTGCTCAGATAAGAAACCACCAGGAAAGCCCAGGATTGTAGTTTAGGGCAAATTATACAATCCCAGGATTGTATTACATGAAAATCAGGAAAAAAAATTCCAAGAGAAAATGGCAAAGTACTTCTGTATTGTCACCAAGAAAACTACATGGGTATGTCTGTGGAGTTATCCAAAGTTGACCTTGATTTAAAGGGGATGTTACAATAAAACAACAGGGAGATTTGTGCCAACTTAAAGACTAGGATCATATATCACAGTGTTCCTCAACCTCAGCCACTTGAAGATGTGTGGACTTCAACTCCCAGAATTCCCCAGCCAGTTGGCTGGCTGGGGAATTCTGGGAGTTGAAATCCACACATTTTCAAGTGGCTGAGGTTGAGGAACACTGATATATCACAACAAACCATGTTTTAAGCATAATTTATTGAACACAATTGAATGGGCTCACCATACTGGAAGTCAAACTATGGTACAAACACCCAGGGACATGATAGCCAAGTACACAAGAGCAGGCATCTTGCACCTCTAACAGTGCTCTAGAAAAGGAGATTTCAGCAGGTGCAGTTTGCTATACCAGCAGAAATTTCTTGTCTTCCACAGCTGTTATTCTATAAAGTCACAGGTGCCCTGTCCTTATCCTTGGGAATAAACTCCATTGCTCTGTCCATGAAACTCAGTGGTCCTTTACAGGCCTGTAGCACTGTTGGAGGATGAGCTTCCCCGTGTTGAAACTAAACTTCAACAGATTATCTTTGGTGTAGAAGCCAAAACAGGCTTTGGCAGCAAACTCTGAGAAGAGTGGAGTCCTGGGGGTTCTCTGAGCTTGGTTGTTTCCTTGCAGACGTTTCGTTACCCGACTAGGTAACATCTTCAGTGCTAGAAGGGAGTGGGGTTTGCTCTCTGTTTATATACAGTAGCTTGCCCTGTCAGTGTCCTGGGGGAGCTGTTTTTTCCTTGGCAGTTCCTAGATTAGGCTGTTGTTTACTGGCTGACTGTTTGTCTGAGTCGGTGGTTCCTTGATTAGGGTTACTAATTAGTATTAGTGATACTCATCTGCAGAACACAAGCCTGGAGGGAGCGGAGTTCAATGTTATCATCAGCGTATCGCACAATGCGCCGATAAGGAGGTCGTCGGTGAAAGCGCTCTGCCACTTTAGCCCCCGCTTCACGATCACACCCAGTCTGCAGAAGTCCCCACTTGCTCTTTCGTTTCCCCCCGCGCTCCGTCGCCAGCAGCCTGCAAACGGAGACCGGGGCTCACACTTGGCACTCCTTCCGCGGCGTCCACACAACCAATCAGACATGGACACAACTCCGCCCACCGCCCAGGTTGGTTGGTTGGAGGAAAGCGAGAGTTTTCTAGGAAAACTTGGGCGCTGGATCTGCGAAACGCCCCTCCCCGCCCACCCCCCTTTGCGCCCTCCTCCCCCTGCGCCCTCCTGGAGTGTTGGAGGGGACCCGGGCTGCTCCACGGCCGGAGGCGGAGGCGATCGCCCCTGCCCAGCTGTGGCTCATCCGGACCATGGGAGACCTGGAGCCACCCGTGTCTCGTGCTGAGAACGCCCCTCAGAAGCAAATCTCCGAGACGGGGACGTCGGAAGGGCTGAGTCTCCGGGCAGCCGGAGCGGTGGGCGGAGAGGCCCTCTGTGACGAGCACCGCGAGCCCCTGAAGGTTTTCTGCTGGGAGGACTGCGCCCTCATCTGCTTGGTGTGCGACAAATCCAGGAAGCACCGGACCCACCTGGTGCTTCCGATCGAGGAGGCAGCTGAAGAATACAAGGTAAGGAAATCAGTTTTGCTGGCGTAGGCGAGGTGGACGCTCTCGCTCTTCGCTGGTGGAAGTGGTGGACTTCTGCTCTGCTGCAGCCGGGCTGCGTAGTTTAAGATGCGTCCTCCTGGATCACTGCGCGTTGATTGGCTACTTCCGAAAGGCTGGGTTTGCACAGCACCTAAAGCCAGCTGAACAACACGGTTACTGTGGTCATTTAAATAGGTGCTGTACAAACCAGCCACTGTATTACAGCTTAACCTGATGGTTAAGGCATCGGCTGGGTTTCCCAGGACTGACTGTACCACAGAGTACTCAATCTGGTTTAGCTTAGTCTGGTGTATCGTGCAAACCCAGCCTAATTATCCTAGCTTTTTCTCTGAGAAACCTAGAATGATGCTCCAGAACCTGCTCCTTCAGTCCCCCCCAAAATTAGCTTCCCAAATCCCATGGGATCAAGTGTGTACGTTCTGGATATGCCTTCCCCAAGAAGATGAGCTCCAGAAATGCAAGAATACAGTTTCTATCATCCCCCATCCCTGTAGTGAGCAGAAGTTGCAGTTTGACACAGCTACAAGGCTTCTTTGCAGAGAGGAGGAGATCATTGGATCTTAGCTTTGGGGTTGACCCTCAAACAAAGCTTGACTCCTGATAGCTTCTTGGACACATCCATGTAGTTTTCTTGCCAACAGGATGGAAGCGGTTTGTCATTGGCTGGGATCCTGGTAGTCTTCCATCACCAAAGAAATCTCACCCTGCTTAACTTTTGAATCCAGACAAGATTGGCAAGACAAAAGCATGCAGTTTGTAAGAGCTTTACTGTGGTTTATTCCTTGACTTAGATCTAATCTTTCCTCTGGGAACCCAAAGGGGCAATAGGATTTTCCTCTGATTTTATTGTCCTAACAACAGCTCAGTTAGGTAGGCTGAATGGTGAGATTGTGGCATGGGTGACTGAGAAAAAAAATGGAACAAGAGTCTTCCCAGGATCAGTGTAGACATGTTAGTCTATCTAGCCAAAAATCAGGAGGAGTCTGATAGCACCTTTTCAGACTAACACATTTTATTAAAAGGTATAAGCTTTCATGAATTACAGTTCACTTCATCAGATGCATGGAGTGTCTCACTTTTTATGCATCTGCATAGCCACCCCATCTTCCCCTCCTTTTCCTCCCATCCCAACTAAAATCCTACATCAGTCTAGCCCAGTGTCTCTCAACCTTGGCAACTTTAAGATGTGTGGACTTCAGCTCCTAGGATTCCCCAGCCAGCATGCTGACTGGGGAATCCTGGGAGTTGAAGTCCATACATCTTAAAGTTGCCAAGGTTGAGAAATACTGATTTAGCTTAACATCTTGCTGTCCACATTAGCCAACAGATTGCCTCATGGAAGGCTTTAAGCAGAACACAAGACGGTCAAGCCTTCTCTCTGCTTTTCTCTCCATCAACTGGTGTTGACAGGCATTTTATGGTTTAGCATTTCAATAATTGTAGGGAACAATCCTAACACATGTCCAAAATGGTTGTCTTTGCTCAGGAAGAGATCCAGATCAAGCTACAGAATCTGAAGTTGGGGAGAATGGCTGTTGAAAGATCAAAGCAGACTCAGGAGAAGCAAATGGCTGAGTATTTGGTAGGTAACTTGTTCATACTAGGGAAAATAATTACTGTGTAGAATTTCTCTTCACTGCAATACATTCCCCACTTGGTTGACTTTTGCACATTTCCTAAAATAAAATACAGTTTTATTTCAAGTTTCTAAAAGATAATCATGAGCAATTTGGGCCCATTAAATCCAGAATGCAGGATTATAGACTATAGCTGCTCTCTGGGTTCATTTTATTTATTTCATGCATTTGTTACATTTTACAACTTGTCTTTCTGCTAGAAGCTTAAGGTGGCATGCTTGATTTTTTACCCTGTGAAGTAGGTTAGGGTCTAGGGCAGTGTTTCTCAACCTTGGCAGCTTTCAGAAGTGTGGACTTCAACTCCCAGAATTCCAGAGCCAGCCTTGCCACTTTGCAGGTATCTAACTTCTTTGAAGTAGTTAATAGACAATTTCCGGAGGTATTTAGCAAGGGAAAAGTAAATGAACTTAATGTCTTTTGAAAAGGTTCCATTTGCGGTTTGAGCAATTATAGGTAGTCCTCACTTAATGTCCACAATAGGGACCGGAAAATTGTTCGTTAAGTGGGGCAGTTGTTAAGTGAGTCAGCATGTGACTGGATCCAATGTTATGACCATTTTACGATGGTTGTTAAGCAAACCATGTGGTCGTTAAGCGAATGCAGCTTCCTCAATGGACATTTTTTGCCAGAATTCTTTTAACAACCATGTGATTCACTTAACGATTGCATGATTTGCTTAACAGCCACAGTGATTCGCTTAATGACCATTGTAAAAAAGAATACATTGAGATCACATGACAGTGGGGGGGTGCGATGGTTTGTGATGGTCGTAAGTGCAAGTACAGGTCATAAAGCACTTTTTCCAAGGCCATCATAACTTTGAACCATTATTAAACAAACAGTCATTAAGTGAGGACTACCGTATGGAGAATTCCCCCATTTCCTGATTTTCCCCCCTTCTAGAAACCGCTGTCTTGCAGTCTCTTTGTGAGGGGTAACCATAAGAAGAAACAGCTTGGGCAATCTCGCATCTCTCTGTTTTATCCAGAGAGGAGCGTAGGAGCCAATTTACTAATGATGTCTGCTTCTATGGATAGACTATATCTAAAAGATGTTAATGACCTTCATTAACATCTGTTAGACATAGTCTATCCATAGAAGCAGACATCATTACTGACAGTGTTGATATTGTAGTTACTAATGTCTGGCTTCATTCTTCAAAGATCTCCTTTATATTTCCGATGTTACAATGTTTTGTGTTATTTTATAAGCCCCAGTATTAACTGATAACAAGAACAGGCTTGCATTTTTATTTTTATTTTTTGCTTAGAATCTTTAGTCTCCTCTAGTGTCCAGTTTCTAAAATCATCATTTATCTTTGTTATGACTTACAATAGCCAGGATAGCCAAAATAAGTCTGTTTCCCATAAGAAGCTGTTTATTTTTTATAGTTAATTCCAAAATCATATAGTAAAAGTCAATGTTCCAAATTTATCTGGGCCCTTAATCCATTTATAACGTTCTTAGATCAAAATCTTATTGAGCTTTTTGCTGTTTATTTCAGATTCTTTAAGTTCTTAAGCTTACAAGTAAGTTTTCTTTTGTTCAGAGTTGAAGATAAACTCACCCAATGAAGACTTTTCAAACTTGTTGTTCCGAAGGTCTCTAGTAGCTTTAAGGTGGTAAATCGGCAGTTTCCAAAAGCGATTAGAAAGTTTGTGAACTTAGCGTCCTTTAAAAGGCTCCGCCATGGTTGCGAGCAAGATGGCTGATCCTGTTGTCTCTCATTGCTCAAACCCAAGGAAAACCGCTGCCCTGTGGTCTCTTTGCGAGGAGCAGCCATCTGCACCTGGGGGCAATCTCCTGTCCTCTGCTTATGCAGAGAGGTCCTGAGGAACCAGCCTACTCACCAGTTGCTTGGCTTTTCATGGAGCTGTCTTCAGTTTGCCATACCTCCCCCAGAAATCTGGCAGAAGGAATAACTTTGAGGAACAGAAGGAAGAGCTGCAACTAAGACAACCATCAGATTAAAAAATTTGAATCCGGGGCAGAAATGTCATTTGAGAAACCATCTCAGAAATGACCCTCCCTAGTTCTCATGAACATAAATAGAGGGAGGGGAGAAGCGTATTCAGACTTGCAAGATTCTGTTACTGTAACCTTATTATAGAAGTATTATTATTTTTTATTTTATTTATTTATCTTTCAAATGTATATGCTGCCCATCTCACTATACAAGTGACTCTAGGTGGCTTACACTATTAGTATTAGCATTTATAACTTTGGTTTCCTAGTCTAGTCTACCTTGAAGGGCTGACACCACTCTTGCAAGTCTGAATATGCTTCCAGACAGCTCCTGTGTCTAAGGGAGGACTAGAATTGGCACTCTTCCAGCTTCTAATCCAGATTTAACCGTTACTTCCCTATTACGATGTTTTGCTTTCATTTTAAATTTGTTATAGGTAGTCCCCAGTTTAAGAAGTTTAAGTTCCCAAGGTCTCCCAAAGTCGAATTTATATTATAAGCTGGAACTTTGTTATTGTATAATACTGTATCAGTAGTATTGTGTAATGAACTTGAACCATTGTATATTTAACTCAAATCATTGTGTATTTAACTCAAATTTTGCTACAATAGGATCTGTTTGTAACTATGGATCGTCTGTAACCCAGACGTTCTTAACCTGGGGACTACCTGTATCATCTGGAGGACATTTGTTAGAACTTTGTTATTGTATAATACTGTATCAGTAGTATTGTGTAATGAACTTGAACCATTGTATATTTAACTCAAATCATTGTGTATTTAACTCAAATTTTGCTACAATAGGATCTGTTTGTAACTATGGATCGTCTGTAACCCAGACGTTCTTAACCTGGGGACTACCTGTATCATCTGGAGGACATTTGTTAGCTGCTCAGAGTCAGGTATAATTGGAGCAGCCTATAAGCCTTGTAAAATACACAAACCTGTGATGGAATGGAATTATGAAGGCCAAGCTCCGGGAGATAAACATTTTGATTGATGTCAGGCCTAGCCCAAGGAACTCCAAGAGACAATGCCA